CTGGGCGCCGCCGGCAGCGCCCGCCGCCGCCGCGGCGCCGGCCCCACCGCGCGGCGCGGCTTCGCCCGCCGCGGGCGGCCCCCGCGCCGCGGCGGCGGCGGCGGCCCCGGCGGCGGTCCGCGCCGCGGACGCGGCGGCGCCCGCCGCGGCCTCCCGCGGCGCCCGCCGGCGCCCCCCGCGCGGGCGCCGCCCGCGCCTGCGCCGCAGGCCGCGGCGCCGGCGCGCGCGGGGTCGGTGGCCGCCACGTACTCGTCGTGCTTCAGCTCGGCGGCCAGCTCGCTGGCCTCCTCCGCGGGCAGCGGCGCGGCGGCCGCGGCTGTCGCCGCGGCCGCGCCCGTGACGGTGGTGTTCGGCAGCAAATGATGGGAGCCGCGCGTGCCGTGTGAAGTCCGTCGTCAGCGTCGGGTGCAGTGGAGGCCCATGCCAAGAAGCACCCTGCTTGCCTCCAGGGTGCCCTGGGTTCCTTGGGTTTCGATGGTTCTGCCATGGAAGGCGCGGCGTTCCCGCGCCAAAAATCGATGGATATCCTGGGGTTTCAGGGTTGGGGTTTTTGTGGATGATTTCTTGTGGACTGGCCTCCGCTGTAGCGTCTGGGAATCGATGAGAGAGTGCCGATTCACCGTCGACTAGCGTCGGTCAGCGTCGATCTGCGCCGATTCAGCATCGATCGCCGTCGATCAGCACCGATTACCGTCGGCCAACACGATGGCAGGGGAGTCGAGGCCTGCCAGATGGGGTCCGAGTACATGGGGTCGGAGGATCGCGCCGCATCGCCGATGCATCGACGATGCGGATCGATGCGGGGCCCGATTTCTCCATGACGACGTCGCCGCTGCGTCGCCGACGTCGGCGACGCATCGCCGATGCATCGGCGATGCCTCGGCGATGCTGCGCGATCCTCCGACCCCATCTACTCGGACCCCCTTCTGGGAGGCCTCCTCAGAGAGGCCCCCATGAGTTGCCGCCGCAGGTGGTCGTGGCGTCCGCGCAGGCGGAGGCGGAGTCGCCGCCGGCAGGGGCGGGCTCCAGGCCCTCGCACCGCGAGCGAGCGGACGAGGAGCGGCATCCCTCGACCCGCGCTTGGCGCACTCTCGGCCACGTTCGGGGGCGGAAAAGATCGGGGGTGGACAGAACCCCCAACAGTGACACGTCGATTAGTGAATTGTCCGTTTTCGGTTTTCGTGAGGGCGCCGTGGCCGCTATTTTCCAGGCTTGCGCCCGCCAGGTTTGGGCCCGAAGTCGTTTTCACTAAACCACGTTTTACTAAAGGGAGGTTTGTCCATCCCCGAAAAGAGGGGGAGGATGACTAGGGGGGGGTGGATTTCGTGGCGCGGGCCATGGTTTTTCCCCACATTTCATGGCGCCTCGTCCTGTTTCATTGCGTCCCAGGCCCCCCCGCTGGGCCGCGCACATGCCGCCGGTCATGATTTGCACCCCTCTCTTGGACACCCCCCTCTTGGCCGCTCCCGACACGTGCAGTCGGTGTCATCCCAGATGCGAATACTGTGTGTGCGTCGCCCCCCCCCCCTAGGGCGACGCGCGCACCGAGAGATCAGATATAGTATATACGTCATGGCGGGCGCTGTCCGGCCACACCGCTCGGGAAACGAGATATACCACAAGATGGATCTATATATATATATATATATATATATATATATAAGTGTTCGGATCGGACGCACGTCTCCGAAGAGGACATATAGTACCAGTATGTCGTTGTGCATCCCATGCAGATGGGGATGGCGGTAGGGAAAATGCTTCTTAGATGTACTCACCCTTCTCAGAAGGCCTCGCCTCGTGCTTCTAAGAAGCTGGTGGGGTGCTTCTAAGGAGCGGCGCGCCCTTGGTTTTTCAGAAGGGCGGCCGGCGCCTTCCAAGAGGCAGCCCCCTTCTAAGAAGCCTTCCTCCCTCCCTCTACCCGGGTGCGCGCCGCCAACACTTACCGCCAGGAAGGTGCTGGTCGAGGGATACAACATGTTCTCTTACCATCGGGGACGCATGCCCTGTGGCGGTTTGAGAGTTTCATATTCCGGCATGCCACTGGACGGGTATGCATTTCCCTGCCGTCGTCGGGCAGGCGTCCCTGACGGTGGGAGACTTCATCCTATCATCTTATACAGTGGAGGCCCATGCCAAGAAACACCCTGCTTGCCTCCAGGGTGCCCTGGGTTTCTTGGGTTTCGATGGCTTTGCGCTGGAGAGCGCGACGTTCACACCAAAAACCCATGGACGTCCTGGGGTATCTGGGTTGGGTTTCGTGTGGAAGGTTCTTTGTGGACAGGCCTCCACTGTACCGCTCTTCGTCTGCTTGACTGGGCCCGGAGGGAAGCGGGCCGTAACAGGCCTCGGAGGAGGCCTCTGCAGCGCTGCTCTCGGGCTCCTGAAGAATTCTGCCGCCGCGGGCCCCGGGACGACGGTTAAGTCGGGCGTGTCCCTCTGCAGGAGGAGTGTTCGAAAACATGGCAAGCAATAGTCAGGAGACGATCTTGATTTGTTTGCGCATTCCTTGACTATGTTTTATCTTCCTCCCAAATTTGCCTGTCGGACGACGTGCCCGACCTAAGACGACCGTCCGAGAGCGGCTCGGGGCGGAGAGGCGGTCACAGGGGGCCCACATCTCCGACGTCGTGCTCTGGTATGGTTTTGGTTATGTTGCCGCAGGATGTGGGCCCCCAGCAGAGGTCTGTAGACTAGTCCCCTGGGTGTCTTCTTTTTGTGGACGGTCTGGACCCCCAGAGGTCGACAGCGGCCGAATGCCTCGTGCAGTGTCTCCCTATTTTCTCCCCACGACCCAGGAGCCTCAGGAAACCTCAGGAAGCTCAGGAGCCTTAGGAAGCTCATGAGTTCCCAGGCAGCTCCTGGGGTGTCCTTCCTGAGCTTCCTGACCTTCGACGTCATTTTTGTGTCCTGTTTGACAGCGTCGACCCCGAGAGGCCTCGGCCCATGTCCTGGGCCCGTTCCGCCCAAGTGCGCAGCTGGCCCGCCGAGGGCCCCCCCAGAGGCCGAAGATAGGCAGACGCGCCCGTCGCGAGTTCTGTTCGACGCGAGGGGGCCTGGGAGAGGAGCCCCCCATAATCCAGCACCAGTGTCCAGGCCTCCCAAGTGGGGTCCGAGCAGATGAGGTCGGAGGCTCGCGCCGCATCGCCTGTGCGGCTCGATGGGAAGCTCGATGTTCACGCCGACGACGCGGATGCATCGTCGGCGTCGCCGATGCACATCGCCGATGTCTTGGTGATGCATCGGCGATGCGGCGCGACCCTCCTTCCCCATCTGCTCGGACCCCATCTGGGAGGCTTGCACCGTGTTCCTCGGAGGGCCCCCTTCATGCCGCGCAGGCCCCCGAGCCCGATGCGGGTGCCGCCGCCGCTGCCGCGCGGGCTGCTGTCGCTGGGCGAGCCCGAGGGCGCGGCGGCTTCGTCGCGGCGATCCTCGCGCTCGAGGGGGTCGTCGGGGCAAGACGCGTACACTTGCCCAATGCGTCTCGGATTTTCGGGCTCGCCTCGAAATCCGATGCGCAGCGGATATGGGTAGAAGTCTGGCCTCTGGCGAGGCCAGGCCTGTATCCATGCCCACTCGTCTCGGGTCTTGTCGGCGTCGCTTCCCAAAAATCCGAGGCGCCGTGGATACGGATACGAATCTTGCCAGCAGGTCGCGCAGGGGCTCCCGGTGCGCCTCGGCGGAGGCTCAGAGAGCGAAAAGGTACCAAGACCTTCGAGCAGGGCCATTTGAGGCAGCGGGAGTTGGCCTTCCGGGGGGGGCCCTCGCCGCCACGGCTGGACGCAGCTCGGAAGACTCGTGCGTTTGGACCCGAGGAGGAGGAGGAGGAGGAGGAGGAGGAGGAGGAGGAGGAGGAGGAGGAGGGATCCAGGAACCGAATTTGTGCTGCCGTTGTCTCAATTCGCCCTGCTCCGACGAAGGGCACCGATATGATCACCCCTGCGAGCTGCGGGGAGGGCAGTCAAGGGCCATAGTAGTGTTGCAGTACTCTGCAAGGATCTTGCATCCTTGCCTTTTCGACCCTCGCTGAGCCAGTTTGAGCGTCCACAGACGCACAGATTGGACCTCCAAGGGCCTGGCATCCTTACCTCGTGGGCATGTTGCGGGGGCTCCTTGTCACATTGTCACTGCCTCGCTGTCCTGGGGCTTTGCTGTGTTCTTGCTCGCTGGAGAATTCGGCACGAGTGGGGCTGCACTGCCAATGCCACGCTTTCCTCTGGCTCTGCTGCGCTCCTGCTCTGAGCGCACACTGCTTCAGGCGTCGCAGAGCTTGAGAGATCCATCCAATCAAATTGCATCCTTACCCTGGATTTCAATTGTGTCCCAGGGATGGACAGAACCCCCACCCTGACACGTTGATTCGTGAATTGTCCGTCTTCGATTTTTGAGGGGGCGCCGCGGCCGTCATTTTCCAGGCTTGCGCCCGCCAGCTTTGGCCCCGAGGTCGTTTCCACTACACCACGTTTTACTAAAGGGAGGAGGAGGAGGAGGAGGAACAGAGGGAGGAGGAGGAGGAGGAAAAGAGGGAGGAGGAGGAGGAGGAGAAGGAGGAGGAGACAGGAGGGAGGAGGAGGAGGAGGAGGAGGAGGAGGAGGAGGAACAGAGGGAGTAGGAGGAGGAGGAGGAGGAGGAGGAGGAAAAGAGGGAGAGGGAGGAGGATCGATTGTCGGCATCAGTGCCACTCGGCACTTGGCTCCCCCCGCAGGCGGAGCGCCCCCCGTGGCGGCCGGCGGGCGTGGCGCGGATCCCCTCGGCCGTGCCGCGCGCGTCCCAGTCGTCGCCCGCGGAGCCGGAGTTGGCGGCGCCGGCCGCCGGCGAGGACGGCGACGGCCCGGGCTGCCTCACGATGCAGCGGTTCTTCAGAGCCCCGAATCATCAGGGGTAACTCGGGTCAGGGCTAACTCGGGTTCGTGTTTCGGGATTCCGAGCCCGAGTTATCCCGGACCCGAGTTACCCCGGATATTTCGGGCGTCCAGAACCCCACGTGATCAGGGGTAACTCGGGTCAGGGCTAACTCGGGTGCCTTTTTCGGGAATCCAAACCCGAGTTACCCCGGACCCGAGTTACCCCGGATAACTCGGGCGCCCAAGTTCTCGAAGATCGGCCACGCGCAGAGGGGAGTAAGGGGGGAGGGGGGGGGGCTTCTTAGGAGGAGGCTGTTTCCGAGAAGGCGCGGGCCTTGTCTGCAGATGCGAGGCCGGCGCCTTCCAAGAAGTAGCCTTCTTCCAAGAAGCCTGCCCCCCTTCCCCTACCCCTCTGTGCGCGCCGCCAAGGAGAACACACATCTAGGCCTCCCAGATGAGGGATCGCTCCGCATCGCCAACGCATCGGCGATGCGGCTCGATGTGGAGCCCGGCTTTCTCCTCGCTGGCGTCGCCGATGCACCGCCGACGTCTCCGATCATCACTGGTGCATCGCTGATGCATCGCTGACGCATCGGCGATGCGGTGCGCTTCGCGGGCCCCATCTGCTCCGAAGCCCTCGGGGAGGCCTCTACACAAGGCACGTCGTGAGCACACGTCTTCGGAGGTCCGCGCGGCTTTCTCGGGCCGCCGCTGGAGCCCCCTGGCGTCGCCTCCGACGCGGCCCCCCGGTGCGCTTCACTCGACAGCGACCGTCGATCGAAAGTCGATCGACGGGGGGCTCGTCAAGAAGGTGGGCTTCGACCTCGCTCATCTCGGGGGGGCAGCGCCGAGCAAAGAATTGCGCGCGGACCGTCGATCGAACGTTTATGCCTATGCCAATGTCCCTTGGAGTAGGTCCTTCTGCTTCGAGTGATCCTCACCGAAACCTTCGGCGTTTGTTCGGCGCGCATGTCGCGTTTGATCAGTCGCCGTTGCTCGGCCGCTGCTGTTGCGGTTCTGATATGTTCGATTCATACATGGTTTGTTAGCGTGGCCAGACTTCTGTTGGCTCGCATGTTGCGTTTGAAAGAACGCCGTTAATTGATCGCTGCTGTATTCCTTACAGTATGCAACTATGTTATGTCCGAGTGTTCAAGATGCTTACGCCGTTCCGCCGACCCCCAGACGACGGACGAAGTCAACGGGTGTGGCCTTTCGGGGCCTCTTGGGGACCCTTTGGGGGCCTCTATTGGGCCTCTTGGGGGCCTCTTTGGGTCGCGGTCGCAGGGGTCCTCTTGGGACGGAGGGTTCGGACTGTCGGTTCGAGCTATTTCTCTCGGGCCCTTCCCGCGGCCCTGTTGGGGCTCTCTTGGGCCATCTTGGTCGCCTCTTGGGTGGTCTTTGGGCCCTTTTCGGTCGTCTTGCGGCCCTCTTGGGGGCTCCTTGAGCCGTCTTGGAGCGATCATGGGGGTCTCTTGAGCCGTCCTGGACGCTGCTGGGATCAAAATGCGCATGTTCAAAGTACACGCCTTCCTGGTGGATATGAACGAGTCTTGCTTCTTGGGGCCCTTCGGGGGTCGTCTTGGAGCCCTCTTGAGCCAATGTTGGTCAAGGACTTCTATGCGTGTTCGAACTCTGCATGAGCAGGCACAAGTCGATTCGTAGGCATCTTGAAGGCCACAGGATATAGAAACGGAGGCTACGGGGGCCCTCGGGGGAGCGTTGATGAGCTCAGAGAGCCACCCCTTGGCTCCCCCCCTGCCTCCATCCCCTCCCCCCTCCAATCGGATTTCAGACCCAGGGGAGGGGGATGATGGGATTGGGACAGCCAATCATCTCACACGCCTTTGCGCCCATGGCAAGCGGGGATCGGCGGACTCATGTCCTGATCTATCATGCAGGCATTACGTTGTGACGCCTGTTACGTTTGATACGTCGTCCAATTGGTCGTTGTTGCGATTCGTTTGATTCTTCAGGCTTACGCCACATCCGCCGACCCCTTAAATGCGTTCGAGCAAGACATGTCTGACGCTGTTGAAAGAGCAGGCGGAAATGTCGGGTGCACAGAAGAAGCACAATTCATCGGGGGAGAGGCTCTGTCGGAAATGCGCGGAGGGGCGAGAGAACGAGGTGCGACGTGACGTGCGCGGCGTGCGGAGGAAGGTTCTCGGACACGAAACAGTTGCAGCAACAACAGGTGGGGAATCATCAGAAGGCGACAGGAGCGGCGCGTGCAAGAGAAGATTACCGAAGTCGGAGAGGTCGTTTGGCGTCTCGGAGCTCTCGTGGGCCTTTTGGAGGCTTCTGGGGATCCTTCTTGGCCCGTGTTTAGGCCCTCTTGGGATCTCTGGGGAGGCATCTTGGGGCTATCTTTGGGGCCTCTTTGCCCGTCTTGGAGCGTCGGGAAGCCGGAAAGGCGGAAAAGCAAAAAACAGCGAAACACACCATGGAAAATCAACAATTTTAGACTCTGGGGGCCCTCTTGGGAGGCTTGTTTGGGACCTCGGGGGCTGTCTTGGAGACCTCTTGGCCCGTCTTGGGGCCATCTTGGGCGTCTTGGAGCCGTCGTTTGGCGTCTCGGGGCCTGCGTGGGCCGTCTTGGAGGCCTCTTGGGGGCTTCTTGGCCCGTCTTGAGGCCCTCTTGGGCTCGGAAAAGCCCCGTGAACCGCTCGTCCCGGCCGTGCTGCGCTCGTCCCGTACCCCCCGCGCTCGTCCCGGACCCCCCCCCCCCTCCAAATCGACCGGACCGGGCTCCCGGGGGAGGGGTTTGGGGAGGGGGAAGCATCTCACACGCCGATGATCCCCAAGGGGTCGGCGGATAGGACGCCGTGAACAGGTTGTTGCTGTAATCTTGTACAGTTGTTTCAGCGATGCTCGGTTCTGCTACGTCCTGTTACAGTGAACTCCATTATACAGTCAACTAAACAGTACTACGTTGCGTCAGGTAAAGTGAGGGTTATGTTATGGTATGGTCGTGTGTGTTCGTGCATTGTCCCGTCTATGTTTTCTAAGCGTAGTCTTAAAACATACTATATAGTTGGTAGCATGATCATGCTTTTGTTGACAGCTCGGTCGCTATGTCCTTGCACTCGTCATTTGTACTATGATACTGCACTCCGTTCACGTGCTGCTTTACACTTTTGTTCACAAGCCCATGGCATTCAATTATACTACATGTGTGTCGTGTTATATGTTTGTGGTTGTTTATATCATTCGCCATGTACTGCCACGTATAGCTATAGTCTCTCTCTCTCTCTCTCGCTCTTTGTCCTAAGGCGTGTTATGTAATATTGCATAGTGGCAGCTGCTCAGTTCTGTTATCTTACCTGCATGTCTCTCATCGAATGGCCGTCAGCCCATCCCGCCACCGTGCCTGGGGTTTGGGTCTGAAGCATATTGGCTGTTCTTTTGGGCCTCGCTGGAGGCCTCTTGGAGGCAGTTTGGAGGCCTCTGGGTGTCCGTTGTGCGTCCTCTTGGGGCCTCTCTTGGGTCTCTTGGGGGCCTCGTGGCGGCCTCTTGGGGGCCTCTTCGGGCCTCTCAGGAGTTTTTCGGGGTCTCCTGGGGACTTCTGGGGGCATAAGACTAGGATTTTCGTTCGGCTCGCGATCCCTCTCTTAGGCCCCTTTTGGGGCCGTCTTGGGGCCCTCTTGAGCCGTCTTGGGCGCCTCTTGGGCTGTCGTCGGGCGCTCGTAGGCCGTCTTGGGTCTTGGGGTCCTCCTGGAGGCCTCTTTGGGCCGTTTTGGGGTGGTCTTTGGGGCCCCCTTGGATCTAAGAGTCCCAGATAGCCGAAAAGGCGGGAACGTCAAAGTCTTTTAAACACCTGGGGAACATCAGTCTGTTTTTTCTCTTGGGACCCTCTCGGGAGGCCTCTTGGGGCGTCTTGGAGGCCTCCTGGGCCATCTTGAGGCCATCTCAGGCCCTCTTGGGCCGTCTTGGGGGCCTCGTGGAGCCCTCTCGGTCCGTCTTGGGGCCTTCTAAGGCCCAAACAATTGATGCAGTCAGATGTGCCATAGCCCAGGGTGGACGACAGGTTTCGGAATTTGGGGTCCGGGTCCCTTAAGGACTCTTCAGGACGGAGGGATGCGGCTCCAGGGATTAGACAAAGGACCTGAGGGCACGCCCACTCCGTGCCCACAGGCAAGGTGGCGGATCTTGCGCTATATGGTGTAATGTTTCGTTCTTTTATCACAGTCTGTGTCAATGCTGAATTATTCAACAACGTTATCTCATTCACGTTACCGTAGTGGTAGCTGCCTTGAAACACATTTAGCATACCATGTTATGTTATGCGTAGTTGTACTGTGTGACGTTCTTTTTTGTCGCAGTATGAGTTGTTATGCGATGCTGGGTTCTGACCGGATCGGTTATGCAATGTGTTGCTATTTTGTGTTAAGTTATTTTGTGTCATATATTGTGCTATGACATGCTATGTTCGTTTCTTCATGACGGGCGTCATGCCTCCCCTCAATGCGCTCCGGGCACTGCCGCCGTGCGCATCGGGATCCGCATAGGTGTCCACATCGGAATCCGAATAGGAGTCTGGTCCGCAGTCGTCGTCGTCGTCGTGCTCGTCGCTCGTCGCTCATCGCTCATCGTCGTCGTGCTCGCGGACGCGGCTGGAACCGTTTTTTCAATTTCCGGGCCGACGACGGCCATGATTTGGTGGGGGGGTGGGGGAGGCCGATGACGTCGCATTTCGCGCCGGTGGCGTTTGGGAATGCCTAGGAATGACCGAGGACGGGCAGCAGCATCATGCAACTGGCGATCTGCATCACAGCGTCAGTGTACACCACAGTGCCTGCGTGCACCACAGCGCCTGTGTACACCACGCCGCCTCTGTACACCACAGCAGCCGCGTGCAACACAGAGCCAGTGTGTGCCACAGTGCCTGCGGGTACCACAGCGCTTGTGTACGCCACAGCGCCTGCGTACACCACATCAGCGGTGAGCAACACAGCGCCAGTGTACACCCAATGCCTGCGTGCATTACAGCGCCTGTGTACACCATGG